GTCTAAGTCTATAGCAGCAGAAATGAAGAAGAATTCAGGAAACCTCAGTCTAACTATAGGATTTATGAAAAAGGAAAGTCTTAGGTTAAAAGACATGTCCTGATCAAAAATAACACCAAGGTTCTTTACATCAGAACTGGAGGCCAGATTAATGCATCCAGAGGAGCTGAAAGGCTACAAAGTTGATCCCTAAGATGTTCAGGTCCAAGAACCAGAACCTCTGTCTTATCTGATCAGAAATGATTTTAGATGCAGGAAAATTATACATTAAATGGAGAATGAGTGAGAAAACTGTCTAAATAAGTAGTGGGCTGTAAAAATGTGTTTGTCACTCACAAAGGTGTGTGTGTGTTGATGTGTACGTGTGTGTGTGAAGCTGCTGTCTTCAGTGGTGCATGAGGCTGAGAGACATTTCCACCTTTACACATCTTTAATAAATGACTGTAAACACAGAGAAACTATGAGTTTGGTAGAACTTAGAAAAATATTTAATTAAATAGTTGAAGTGAAGGAACAAGTCGCAGTGCTGTGAGTTCCTGCTGCGGTGTGATTTATRTTTTAGAATCATGAAGTCACTCATTCAGCTGCATGACTCGACTCAGAACTGCAGTGAAATACCTGACTGTAATTTGTTCAGTGTGATACAAACAAACAAACAAACAAACAAACAAACAAACAAACAAACAAACAAACAAACACGCTGTCCTCAGTTCTTCTTGTGCTGACATCCTCCTGCAGAACAGCTGACATTGATCCATAAATTACACACAACTTTACGCAGCAACAAATCTATTGTGTGCATCTTGTGGAGCTGAGGTATCATCACAGAGCTGTTCTGAATTAATCTGCTGAGTTGACAAAGTTTTTTTCTCAGTGAGAATTAAAATGTTTCTTAGACAATTCACACATTTTATTTCCCTCAGCTGTGTGTGCGCCTCGCAGGCCTGCGCTCTGCGTGTTTCCATATGTGACAACAATATAAAACTTTACAGTTTACAGACTGGACATCATTTTTAGGCTGATCTGTTTTCTTGTCTGAGGTTAAATGATTTTCAGTTTCATCATCATTCAGTTTAAACAATAAAAACTCAAACTAAAATAAAAATGTAACAGTGTGTTCAGACGCTCCTTACATCCAGAAAACACAGCAGAGTCATATTTCTGTGGATT